GTATAATGGTGAGATAACAGTTGCATTAGTAGTAATAAGCAGGAAGATGATTGCAGTATCATATCATTATTTTCATATTTGATAAGTGCTGAAGTGTGATTTGATCCATCTATTACTAAAAAAACTGCTCTTTTGTGATAAGGAACTTAATGTTTTAATTTTTTGAAGAGTATTTTCAGTATGTGTAAAATATAATGGTTTAAGTAAATGTATCCTATTATTTTCATTTTGTTCCGTAAAAGTGGTATTTATTTGAAAGATCTGTAAAGTGGTTTTTATTGATTAGGATAGACACTCATGTGATTCCCAAACTTTTGATGATAGTTTAGAAACACAATGTTTCCTTCCAAACTTTCCATGGTATTGTAATTTTCTCCTGCGGCATTTGTAGGATAGGTAAATAAAACAGCCTTTTTCTATTTGATGTTTTATACATTATTTCAAGTATGTTCATAATGTTCATATTGTTCAGTAGCTGAAGTGGTTGTATATATCTGAATGTCTTGTAAATCATTTATTATTGCCTTGACATAACCTTGTGATTCCCAGAATGATAATATAAGTCTAAACACATTAAGGTTCATTTCAGATTCTCCATGATTGTTGTAATATGTCCGGCAGCTTTTATAAGATAGGTAAATAAAACAGTTTTGATATATTCTTTTTGCAGGTCCAACAGGAAGTCATTAGTTTTGTGTCCAGCATTGTAGATGACGCCAACCACCCTAAGATTGCTGAAGTGCTATGGTAAGTAATTTATTGAAAATTCGTATGTAACAAATACTTCTGTGGTAGTGAAAAACGGCAACTATTAAAAAAAAAAATTATGTGTTATTTTATCATAGAAAGTTTCACAAAGCTCTAGCTCCTTTTTGGAGGCATTGCAGAAGTTTCAATTCATCAAGATTTTCCAATTATGAAAGAAGAAAGTAGTGAATCAGCCTGTTGTTTAGAACTTGCTCATAACTATTGACATTTTACTAGCCTTTGAGGTTATGAAAGAAATGGGATCTTTGCACTCGCTGTTATTAGTTGACGTAAGACCAAAGTATGGTAATTCATCAAATTGTTATGAAATTTAAAAGGTGAAGCTAACCTGGTATTAATTTTATAGTCCGTGTTTAATATCTTAAGATATGTTCTGATATTAGGAGGCAATGTATGTAAGGTGTAAGGTAAGAAAAAAAAAAACACTGAAAGAATATTAATGTTTATTAATGAATTTATTTAAGTTAATTGTACATCAGATGGTAAGGAATTATAAATTCTATGAAGAAAATAGTAATTATTGTAGAAAGTGGGATGTATTATTAATGAAAAAGAAGGTTTTCCATTGCTTTATGAGGAAAGGCAAAAATATAAAAAATGTAACTAAGTATTTCTCCTTTTAGAGATGATAAATTAGGCAAAGAAAAGCTGGAAGTATCTTCCATATTGTGTTACTTGCAAAGAAAGAGTTTCGGAGTAGATGTTGACATTATTTTATTTTCTTGGATATGAACTGCAGTATAACTTGAATAGGTTAATGAAGATTCAGGAAAGTTAATACCAAATTTACAAAGAAGGACTAACAAAAATTAAAGAGTGATGCGAGTTATATTGTCATAGTATGATGTTTTCACACATATTACAGAAACATTGGTTCATGATTAAGCTGGTGATTATTAGAACCAACCATCTCAAAGTATGAACTTTTTAGAAGTAGATGAATTAGCAGTTCAGTTTCAGATCAGCATGAAGATTTGCACAACCTATTTTTGAGCAAAAAGACCACGTGTGTGTGGCATTGTCTTTGTAATCCTGATGTTTTGTTATGTATACCCTTCACCATGCTTATAGTGAGGTAGCATTGCTTTATTAACTTCAGATTATTGGTGTTCAGCAGTATGGTGTTATCTTGTGGATTTTTCTCCAGCATGGTGGTCTGTTACAGTATATTACTAGTCTCTTATACATTTTGCTTACGAGATAGCATGTTTGAATGAGTATGTCAGAATTAAATTTTCTATATTTCTTTAGTTCAGCATAAATAAATGTTTAAACTTATTTTTAAATGATTTGAAGAGTTAGATAATAAAGAATATTTAATATGAAGAGAATAAGTTCAGATTAAACTATATTCTTTGCACATTTCCATTCTTGGAAAAATAGAGGGGTTTGGTTCTAGTAAGAGCCTTTTTCATGGATCCTGTGCCTTCCATCACCAGGGGTTTATTTCCACACTGAGTGACCTGTAGAAAAAAACAAAGAATTATATTTATATACACATATACACACACACACACACACACACACACACACACACACACACACACACACACACACACACACACACACACACACACACACACACACACACACACACACACACAGATAATGATGATGATGAGAGAGAGAGAGAGAGAGAGAGAGAGAGAGAGAGAGAGAGAGAGAGAGAGAGAGAGAGAGAGAGAGAGAGAGAGAGAGAGAGAGAGAGAGAGAGAAACAATTATGTTACCTGCATGCAGGCTGATAAGAACTGCCATGCTTGTGTTTCTTCAGCTGGTTTAAGGAGTAGAACCAGCACGTTATTCTCTGGTGGTGGGTCCAACAGGACTGTTATGTCTGCTGATAATCTTTTGCGTACTACCTGGGGGAAATTAAGTTGTAGGGTTAGTGTTACATACTGGATCATTTGTGCACAGCTAAAAAATTAAGTCTTATTGGAATGACTCTATTTTGTTGGGATTTTTGGGTGTATATCCCATAGTAGAAGTGGCAAAGGTTTTGAAAATCCTTATTAAACTAAGTATTCATATTAAAGGGGGTATGGTATAAAAAAAACAAACTTAGGTACTTAGTGTTATATATCAAAGTGATATAAGTTAGACATTTGATACAGTCGTTGCTATTTAACTGATGAAAGACATATTTGAAAATTACTCCAAAGAATGAAGATTAATGAAACAAATAGCCCTTTATTAATTTTCTTAGTGAATTTATATATAAGTGTATAATCCTACTTGTAAACTGCTACTTGGTTCCCAGATTTTTCGGTTAAATAACATTCAAGTAATCAGAATCATGCATAGTGACAGATAAACATGGGAGTTCTTACCTTATGAAGGTCATCAGAAGCATCGGATGCGCACTCGTCATCATCATCGTCTAAGAGTGTTGTTATGTCCTCCGCTCGGTTCATATGCAAAGGTATTTGGCTAACAGGACTCTTCGGTTTATCTTCACACACATCAGGTTTTTGCTGCGTCTTCTGTTCAGTCATTGGAAGACTGCTTTTTATATTTTGTAGGGATTGGTCTGTGTTCGAGAGCAGTTGGCTGTGACTGTCCAGGCTATAGGACTTGGTTCCCCGCGATATTTTAGGCTTTGGGGGAACAGGTGGTGGTGGCTTTGCTGGATGTGATGTGTTGGCTCTAGGACACAAGGATGTGGTCTTTTTAAGGGCACTTCCATTTGTTAGTTGTTCCTCTGAAAGATGGAAGGGATAATGTTATGCTATTTAAAGGCACATTTGATAGCTCTTAGGTTTGTAACTGGGAAAGTTATTTGCTGGTTTTTAGGTATTGCCTACAATGGCTGAGTGATTCTTTAGCAAGAAGTATTTTAGGAAATGCTTAGGAAATTTAAGACTTAAATAACTTTCTTTTTTATATTTGTAAAAAGGTTTCCTCAGACTGACAGACAGACAGACAGACAGACAGACAGACAGACAGACAGACAGACCGACCAACAGATTAACTGACCTTGAGTGACAGGGGGTATAAAGGGAGGGAGATGAGACGGGGACTGTGGAGCAGGTTCCAAGGGAGGAGTAGGTTGCTGTAACGGCTGAGAGTGCAGGACTCGCTGTAGGTTTACTTTGGCTGGCACGGCACTCCTTGGCACTTGCTCGATGCCGTTGAGCACGAGGTGGCACTTCCTGACCTGCGACCAGTCTCCGAGGTGGAAGACCAAGTAGGTCCCCATCTGTTAAAAGGTGTATTTTGAGTATGTTTTCCATTGTAAAGAAAATTTTTACTCTTTTTACCTTTGTTTCTTTATGATTTTCTTGGCTTTTTGTGTGTGTGTGTGTGTGTGCGTGCGTGTGTGCGTGCGTGTGTGCGTGCGTGCGTGTGTGCGTGTGTGCGTGCGTGCGTGCGTGCGCGCGCGCTTGTGCTGTTCATGTGTGAGTGCTTGTTCTTGGGAGTTTGTGCATGTACGTATGAAAGCTTGCGTGAGAGAATGTTATGCATGTGAGTGAGAGCGGGAGTATGTGCGTGTTCGTGTGAAAGCTTGTGTAAAAGAGTGTTAAGTACGTGAGTATGAGCACGCGTGAATGCGTGTGCGCTTATGCATTTGCATGTGCGGGTGAGTGTGTGTGTACGTGTGCCTGTACTTGTAAGTGCGAGTGTTAATGAGTATTTGTGTTTGCGTGCGTTTGCGTGTGCGTACCTGCGTGTACGTGTGTGTGTGTGTGCGTGCGTGCGGGACGTGTGGGACGTGTTGGGACCCGAGAGCGTGGCGTGGTGTTGACTGAGAACAGAGGCGCAAAGGCATTCCGAACGGCGAGAGTTGATAAATGCATTCTAAATATTCGTGGTTTTATTTTTAAGTGTCGGTGAAAGGACATGACGGTGCATGTCGGCGGTTACGTAAAGCAACAGCTTCTATATTAGTGCCAATATTATCATAGGCATCATCCTTGTCGTTATCATCATCACCATCGTCGTTATGAGGAGGTTAATTGTTCTTGTTAATGTTGCTTTTGTTGTTGTTGTTATTGTCATTGATGGTTCTATTGTTGTTACTGTTGTTGTTAAAAAATGAATTTATTTAATTGCAATAATTCTGACTCCTCCCTTCCAAAAATCCATCTATCGAGTCCCTCTTTTCGATGCAAATTGGAAACTTTAAAACTACTCCATCTGTTAAGGATATTAGGCATAAAGACCCACCTTTAACACTTAGAATACACTCATCACAAAATAAAATAAGAGAATTTATGTTTTTTGGATATAAACACGGTTATATTTTTGGGGTTTGTGGCATTGTTTAGCGTGCATTGACTCGTAACGAAAAAGGAGAGATATATTATTCGCCATTTCGCTTGATTAACTCACCGAGAGATAAAAATGTAAATGTAATTTTAGTGGAAAAAAAAAACATGGCGGGGAGATGAAAGGTTACGTACATGATTTAAGGTTTTGGCGATGCTTGGTCCTGGAAGTGATACAGGAATAAAGAGGTTGTAGAAAAGGGACTTAACGGTATATTGCATCATTATACATTCATAAAATGATTACTCTGCGTGGCAAAGCTTCCGAAATGTGGTTTCCGTGGCGGGAGTGACGTGCTGGTCTTTCGTCGCGAGGTTTTTATCAAAGCCACGTCATACTCGTGTATAACCCCCCCCCTCTACATCGGAAGTGCACTGCAGCGTGCGTCACCTCCGCGGAATCTGTGTGGTCACAGGTCCTCTCGCCCGCCCCCCGCCCTGGCTGGGTCATGCGCATTCCACGCCATTGCTTTTCTTATTGTGTGCTTATCTTGTCCACTAAACCTGTTGTTGTGGGCACAGGTATGGGGTTGCCGCGCGTTGCCCTTGGTGTTTTGTTTGCTTAGCTGTTCTGACAAGACATGCCGTGGTTGTAAGCTCTGTATCATGAGACTTTCTAGATAGATAAACTTGTTATTATTATTGTCATTTGCGTCTGATTGATAACGCCGCCTCACAGAGAGGAAGCGTTGCGAATTCGTTAATTAAATCAAACTTCGAACTTGATTGTACACTGATAACGTAATCTGTAAACACATGTCATTCGCTGAT